ATATGGCACCATAAGTGGTTGTAAATTCTTTAAATATTTATTTTGTTTTATTTTTTAATCAAGTGACTTAATTTAGGTAGATTGATAAATGTTCTGTTTCCATAGAAACCAGAAACTGACCAATATTGATTCAGTACAAAAGAATAAAAAATGAATGAAATGGTCACATATATAAACAAACATATATATAAACACATTCACATATAAAAGACAATGTGTATATACATAAAGTACAGGCAAAGAGTAGGATATTCCAGAATTCAGCTTCCCAATAAACATTTTTTTTTTACTTTTTATTTGTACATATTCTAAACGTGCATAGCATAAAAATTTATCCAATATTTAACAAAATTCAAATGAAGGTTATCACTAAGACTGCAATGATAAAAACAAGAGAAATTGAACGTACTGGTCATCCCTAACACTACAGCGATAAAAGCAAGGCAAAATGAAGGTGCTGGTCATCATTAGGACCATAGTGATAAAAATAAAAGGTAAAATGCCAGTGCTGGTCATCCCTAACGCTATATATATATATATATATATATATATATATTAACCACTAATATTATCTATCTATCTATATATATATTAACCACTAATATTATCTATCTATCTATATATATATATATATATATATATATATATATAACCACTAATATATATATATCTATATATATATATATATATATATATATATATATAATATTATATATCTATATATATATATATATATATATATATATATATATATATTGACCACTAATATATATATATATATATATATATATATATATATATATATATTAATATTATATATATATATATATATATATATATATATGAATTAAGATAAAATGAAAATTTATCTTTATTGACATATTTCAACTTTCTGATAGATTTTATAAATGCAGATGTAAGGATTTTATTTTTCAATAAGTATTTACAAAATAAAATCCTTACATTTGACTTGATAAAGTCCATCAGAATATGAAACATGTTGGCTAAGTTAACTTTTCCTTTTGTCTTTTTAGTTATATCTGAATTTTTACTTTATATATATATATATATATATAAACGTATGTGTGTGTTTTGTTGATCTATATCCCTATATATATATATATATATATATATATATATATATATATATATATATATATGTGTGTGTGTGAATTTATATATGAACACAAATAAAAAAACTGGCTGGAAACCTATATGAAGACCTGCTTTTTTTTTTATCACCAGTCCATATATATATATATATATATATATATATATAATCCTCTTAACATTTGTCATCTCAACTATGCTGTTTTTGAATCTACATTAATTTTTTTTACTTATTCTATGTTCTTAATTATTAACTGAACAACATTTAAATTTTTAAATTAAAATCCAGCTACTTATAACTTCCAGCAATGGACAATTGTATAAATACTATATTTATGAGTAAATGATATTAAAAGTTATTGGAATAAAATTATTTCTCCTTTAGTGTAGTGCTATATAGTTGCACATGTACCTGCTGCTATTTCCACTCAAGAATTTTTTTAATTTTTTAAAAATTTGTTGTTTATAAACAATGTATTTATAGTGAAATTTCAAAAAGTATTCTTTTTCACACTTCTCGAGCACTAAATAAATACAGAACATAGAATTAACAGGTTGTGAGAAAAGCATCTAAGATATTAAATGAAAAGCAGCTGTTCAATATAATGCAGAAATACATTATGAAAACCATTTTTTGTGTCCTTTCACTTTTCATTCACTTCCTATATTTACAATTTGTTGCCTCTATTTATGAACATATAAACATAAACTCGATTAAAAAGAACAATTTTACTTTTATATGAAACAAGGAGTGTTTACTTCCATATGGAGCAAGGAGTGTTTACTTCCATATGGAACAAGAAGAGTGTACTTCCACATGGAACAAGGAGTGTTTACTTCCATATGGAACAAGGAGTGTTTACTTCCATATGGAACAAGAAGAGTTTATTTTTGACTTTTTTTACTGAAAAAGATCACTTTTAATCACATTTTGACAGTTGTCACATCATCACAGTTAATACTTGTTAGCTGGACTTTCAATGTATAAATACATATAAATTTAATTTTATGAATGTCAGTAAAAGAAACTGTAAACTACAAATTGGAAACAACAAAAATCAAGAGAGTACAATATTTTAGAGATTGGAAAATGTGGCACCAAAATCTGAAGGTGTATTGAAATAGTGAAAGATGCTTTCCAAAAACTAAGTAAAGAAACAGGAAAATTTTATTACAAAGAAAAATGTGTAGAACTGTAATATTTGTCCTTCTATATGGCAGTAAATGTTGGACAATCTCCTTACACATGAAGAAGAGAATTGAGGCAACAAAAATGTGCTCCTACAGATGGCTGCTGAGAATACCATAGATTGAACATGTGACTATCAAAAAAGCTTTAAGGAAAATACAAAAAAGATGCTTATACTTAGAATGAAAAATAACAATTGAAATTTCTCGGGTACATAATGAGGAAAGAGGGCCTGGAAAATTTGACTCAGAGGACATATTGAAGATAAGTGGGACAGACGAAAACAGTGAATAACCTACTTAATAAGCTTACAAAAGTTACTAAAAGCTACAAAGGACAGGGTGTTGTGGAGAGCTGTGATCGCCTATGTCCTGAAGGGACAAGGAACATATAAGAAGTGATTCTAGTATTGTTATGACTTGGTTATTTTTCAATATTTTTTTCTCAGCAGAACAAATTTTCACAGGTGTGTGTGGATGCATGCATGACATATCTCAAGATGTGAGATTCAATATATCATGACATTTTTCTTAATTTCTCAGGTAAATCATTCTTGCTATTAACTTCTGACAATATTTTCTTTCATCTTATTTTTGTTGATTGTTTACATCTGATAGAAGTAATAAATGCAATAACCTTTAATAGAATTTATTAGATAAGAATGCAATTCTTTATTTGTGACTAGTTTTTTTGTTCATCTTTTTTTAACTAATTGTTTACTACAAATAGCAGTAAGAGATGTAATTGTATTTAGCTGACCGAAGTTCTTAAATTAAGCTATGTTGTATTGTAATGTTGCTTCCCTGTGCCTTTTCTATAAATATTTTCATGCTAATTGTTCTGATTAGTAATTAGACTTAACAAATTTAAGTGCAGTACTAGATTTGCAGCAAGGTTTCCTTCTTTTATAATTTAAATGACTAAATTTAAAAGGAAGGTCTATGCTAACTATTTCTTCTATCACACTTCTTGCCTGTGGAACTCTCCTCCCACTTCTTGCTTTGCAACTTTGAAAATTTAAATGCAATGTCAATCATTATCTTCTGTATCTTAATTCCTGTTCTTTTATTGTTTTTATATGTTTTTCTTGTGTCTCAGTGGCTCAATTGCCTCTCTTGAAGTGAAATGATTAAAACAAAAAGAACTGTCTCACTTTTTTGACTAGTTTTTCTTTCATCTTATTTTTACTGTTTGAATATGAAGAAGATACTTGAAACCACAGAAACGTGGCTCTACAGAAGGATCTTGAGATTGACATGGACTTAAAATGTGAGCAGCAATAAAGTTTTAGAGAAAATAAAAACAAAAAGTACACTTATACTTAACATCAGGAAGAGACAGTTGAAATTTCTAGGGCACATAATGAGGAAAGAGGGCTTGGAAAATTTGGTACTTAAGGGATAGATTGAAGGCAAGAGGGACAGAGGAAAACAGTGCAGAACCTACCTAGCAATCTTGATAAATGGATGGTGGAACAAGATTTAGAAGAGATAACAAGAAAAGCAAATTTATTATGAGCTACAAAGGACAGGAAATTGTGGAGAGCCATGATCCCCCACATCCTGAGGGGACACAGCACATAGAAGAATTTTTATTGCATAATTAAAATCATAATTAATAGAAATTAATTTTTTAAATTATTAATTTTTGATGAGTTTTTCTTTCACTTTATTTTGTTGCATTTTATCTAAATGACTACTTCACGAGTTTACAACCCTTAAATTAAAAGCAATATGGACTTAAAGAAGTAGCCTCCAATGAGACTTGAACTTGCATGCTTATCCTGGCAAATCTGTCTTACATATACAATTCCTTACTTATTAGGCTGCTAAATTTCATCAGTAGATGTGATTCATATTTAGACATATATTCCTTTGAATCTGAATTTCTCAACAGCATATGGTTTGTTTACATAAGCATCTTCAGGTGTCCAAATATTTTAGATATAGAATTGTACGTATTAAATATATTTATATAAGTTTTTCTTTCACATAGGTGTTGCCTTTTATCAAAACACTCTAGTTACTTTACATTCTATGATAATAGATAAAGATGAAAAATAAGAAAATAATATATTTTACATTCTATGATAATAAAGATGAAAAATAAGAAAGAATATTACATTTTATATTATATGATAATAAATGAACATGAAAAATAAGAAATAGTAAAAAAATTAATAAATACTTTACTGTAGATGAGATGCTACTGTAAATCATGTCTTATTATGTTTTACTAAATAACATCTTTGCCAAAATAGTTTAGATATTAAGCCTTTCATTTAATTCTGATTCAGGTGGTTATTTTAAAGGTTCATGGCTGATGAAAGGAATAGAACTCCCAAAATATTTATCAACATTCAATTAAATATATATTATGATTCTTCTTTTAGGTAATATGATTTTAGTTTGATGACAATAAAAACAAGGAAATAATGACCTAAAGTCCAAGAAAAACATTAATCTCCAGTGAAACATTCCTATAATCACTACAAAAATTAAATTTCTTTTTTTACTATTATAAAAAAACTTTAAAAGTGTATTTATATCAGTTTTTTCCCAAGGGATTAAAATCTTCCAACCCAGAAGAAGGCACACCATACCTGAGTCAGTCTAAAACATGTCAGATCTAACAACAGTTTCTTCTGTCAATGGAGACAAGTTTTTAAAAATAAATAATTATGAACATTTTTAATAATTAC